GGTAACGAATGTCAATGTGCTTTGTTCTTGAGTGATTAACTGGATTCTTTGCGATTGCAATTGCTCCTTGATTGTCCTCCAGAATCACTGTTGGTGTGCTCTTCACACCCAGTTCTGTTGGTAGCCTTCTCAGCCGTGTTCCCTCTTGTGGCTCTCCTGGCCTAAAGCAACATGCTCAGCTTCTGCAGTTGAAAGTGCAACTGTCGCCGGTTTCTTGCTCCGCCAACTGACTGCTCCTCCAGAAAGAAGAAAAATGTTTCTAGTTGTAGAGCGACGATCATCCTGATCACCTGCCCTATCAGCATCTGAGAATCCAACCAGAGTTCCTGTTTCTGACTGTTGGTATTTGAGTCCCAGGTTTAGTGTGCCTTTTAAGTATCTTAAAATCCTTTTCACAGCTGTGAGATGTGTAGTGTTTGGGTTTGCATTGAACTTTGAGACAGCGCTTACTGCTTGTGCTATGTCTGGTCGTGTGACTACGGCAGCATATAGTAAACTCCCAACCATTGACTGGTAGGTACTTGGGTCTACGGGTTTGCTGGTATCATCAGTCTTTCTTAGCTTCACATTTAGATCAGCTGGAGTTGCCACTGGATTAGTATTATCCATTCCATATTTCTTCAGGATGTTCTCAATGTACTGTTTCTGATGAAGTATGACATGTTTTTTTTTCCCCTGGACGACTGAGATGCCCGGAATGTAGGAAAGCTCACACATGTCTTTCATTTTGTAGTGTTTCTTCAGACTGTCCTTTAAGTTGTTCATGCTATCTGTTGACTCTGTAATCAAAATCAAATCATCGACACACACAGCCAAAATGTCCAACTCCTGACCTGATCTAACACACACACATTGGTCTGAAGTACTCTGTGTAAAACCAATGCTTTTCATGAACTCTGTAAAGGCTCTGCTCCAGCAGCTTGGTGACTGCTTAAGTCCATATATTGACTTTTTTTAGTATGCACACTAGATGTTCTTGTCCTGGTTTGATGTAACCTTCTGGCTACTCCATGTAGATTTCCTCTTCCAAATGTCCATTTAGGAATGCAGTCACAACATCCATTTGATGCACATTAAGGCTGTTCTGCACAGCAAAGGATAAGAGCGTACCAACTGAGCTGAACCCTAACCCTAACCACTGGAGAGAATGTTTCATCATGGTCAGCTCCATAGATTTGTGAGTAACCTTAAGCAACGAGTCTGGATTTGTATCTTTCCACTCGTCCATCACTGTGATGCTTGATTTTGAACACCTATTTTGACCCGATTGCTTTACGATCCTCAGGTAACTCCATTAATTCCCATGTGTCATTTTCCAGCAGTGACTTGTATTTCAGATCTTCTGCTTCTTTCCATTCTTTTGCACTTGCACTAGACATTGCTTCTTTCAGTGCGTCTGGCTCTGTGACACAGCAAACGTTGGCATAATGCTCAACTGTTACTACATCAGCAAACTCATCATATCCATATCTTTTTGGAGGCTTTCTGATCCTGCCACTTTCTTTTGCAGCTTCACTGACAGTAGTGTCCTCAGTATTTTTTGGATGTTCATCTGTGTTTAGTGTCACCTCACTTTCTGAAGATGAATCTCTCACCTTGTTTCCATCCAAAATCTGTTTCATTAATACTGCATCTCGCCGTATTAGTACTCTCCTCTTTTCTTCATCCCGCAGACCTTTTTCATTTGTTGCATTTCCTAGGAAGCGAACTTTAATTGCCTTTTTGTCCAGCTTCCTTCTCTCTGTGTTTGGGATGTGGATGTAAGCAACACACCCAAATACTCTCATGTGACTAACGTCTGGCATTTTTTCTTACTATCTTTGATAGGGTGTCTCTTCCTTTATAGCAGATGTGGGCAGCCTGTTTTGTATATAAGCTGCCGTTGCAACAGCCTCTGCCCAGAACATGTTTGATAGTTTTGCATGAGACAACATACTTCTTGCTGCTTCTCGGCTCCTGGCCAACTCGACTTCCTTGCCGGCTGGACGTACTGAGTGCCCCTACACAAGGGTAATCATAGTCTCTAACCTGGTGTCGGATGGTCTCCAAACAACGTGTGCGAAAACCACTAAATCGAGTACTTGGACAAAAATGGCCAAATTCCTGTGCGACATTGACCTTGGCTCCAAGACACTTTTTGTAGGTCCCAAGGCACTACATTAGTGTACCAAATTGCATAGTTCTCAATTAAAGCACCGCTTGGGGCTGACAGTTTTAATGGTCCTAGGGGGCGCTATTTCAGAAAATAGGCCACGTCCACCAACCTATCACATTCATTTCTATTGGGGATCAGACTAGGATCACTCACCAGAGATTTTGTGGCGATATAATGATAAACGAGGAGTTGAGAGGCAAACGTATTTACATGGCGTAATGGCGAATTTTGCCATGCTCCCAAAGCCCCGCCTTTTTTTGAAACCTGCCAATACTGGACAACAAGTTACCTCAATTTGTCTACTGCTTTGCCAGAGATTGCTGGTGATTGGGTGAAAGGAGTCCAATAGGGAGCTGTGAAAAAAGTGGCGTGGCAACAGGTGAATGTTTGAGGCTTAGCCACGCCCACATCTTTCAACTTTTGAAAAATCTGACGGTTGAATTTTTTTCCCCTATAGCTTAAGAGTATATAGCAGAAGTTTGAAGGTGATCGGTGAAAAGGGCGACGGTGCATCATTCTCCAAACGTGTGCAAAAACACTACATCGAGTACTTGGACCAAAATGGCCGACCTCCTGTGCAACTTTGTGCTTGGCTCCAAGAGACTTTTTTGTAGGTCCTTAGACACTACATTAATTTACCAAATTTCGTAATCCTCAGTAAAAGTATGGCTTGGGGCTGACAATTTTAATGGTCCTAGGGGGCGCTATTTAAGAAAATAGGCCATGCCCACCGGATTTTTACATCAGATTCTTTGGGGGGCCATACTAGAATCGCTCATCAGAAGTTTCGTGGTGATATCTTCAGAAATGACTAAATGGGAGGCAAATGTATGGCCACGACGGTACGCCTGGCTTCGCCGTGCCGCCACAGCCCCGCCCTCTTTTGGGAACTCCCATGAAGTGACGCCAAGAGACAACCACTTGTCTTGAGTCACCAGCTACAAATTTGTGGTGATTAAGTGAAGTGGGCGTCTTGGGACCTATCAGAGTAAAACTTGACCTTTTTGGTCCTGAGGGGGCGGTGCTTGTGTGATGTCATCATCCGACCATTCAGTTTAGTTTCTGGCCAGATGTCAAATGACCACAGAAAGTTTTGTAATTCTACTCTATTCGAGTATGAAGTTATAGTCATTTATATATTTTTTGGCGAGTAGTCAAAATTCGAGGTCTGGCCACGCCCCCTCAGCATATACGAAAAGTCAGTTTTATTTTTTCTATTTCATTGGCCATCCTTTCTGAGCAATTTCCCACAGCTTTCGAGACGATCGTGCAAAAAACGATCGAGTAAATCAATCAGAAGCGGACCCTAGAAACGGCCGTTTTACCTCTTTTCCTCCGACGTTTTCCCGAGACCGGACAAACATCGCTAGAGGTGCGCAGCTCTGGATCGTCGATTGGTTCCGGGCCGGTGCACAAACAGGATGGTAAATCCTCGTTGCATCTTGGGCGATCGTGAACGAACGGAAGAACAAAAGAGTCTTGCGATCATAGGATATGGTAGCAGGGACACTACTGAAGAAGATCCCAGACAGGAGCAAGGTGGAAAAGAGGAGGTTAGCGGAGAAAAGTTTGAAAAAGTGGCCGGTGACCGCGGCTAAGCCAAGCACAGGCACCATCTTGCCGACCGGAAGCATCATTAGAATCCATGTAAAAAGACTAAAATTCAGCTAGTACCCTACTGCTGTTTCTGAGTACATTTGAACTATCAGTACATTTTACCCTAGAAACATGGTTAGTTCACATTTCATATAGGTAACATGACAATGAACCCCAACATGCTGAAGCAACGTTTTTGTAACTATAACTTTGGTATAATGATTTAAGGTTTATGGCATATTTTTTAAAGAATTTCAACCATTAAGTTCAAGTACAACAACGAACCATCCATTCATCCTTCCATCCAACCACTCTTCCATCAGTCCATCCAAGCATTAATCCACTACTCTCTCTCTCTCTCTCTCTCTCTCTCTCTCTCTCTCTCTCTCTCTCTCTCTCTCTCTCTCTCTCTCTCTCTCTCTCTCTCTCTCTCTCTCTCTCTCTCTCTCTCTCTGTCTCTCTCTCTGTCTCTCTCTCTCTCAGCTGTCGTTACATACAACTTACAACTTTTGACTAAAAGTTTAGATAAGAAGTTTTGACTCCTGCTTCAAAATTTCTGGTCTTCAAATAAATTCAGATAATTAGACATTTCAACTAATTGTAAAACGGTCATTATTAAACTATTTTTGATAAAATGGCAGCTTTTATAAACACTTTAACTGTCCAGTTTTTTAACTCAGGTCACATCTGTTACTCTCTTCATTCGTCACTATTTTTTTGGGCTTTATCACCCTCTGTAGTGATTTCTGCTCCTAAATCTGCAAATGCATTCAGCTCATTTAGACATTTTCGCTTATTTTAAGCTTCACTTCAGTTCCCTAACATCTTCAGCTATCATTACCAGCATTCAAACAATATTTCAGCAAGAAATGCCATTTATTTAGTTGTAGTTTTCATATATTTGTTTACAAAGAGATAATTCCTTCCCACACTGCCGACATGAGGCTCCTCTAGCTTAGTCCTGATTGGACCTGAAACTCTCCAGGTGTAACAAACCCCAGTGTGGTCAACTGCTCCTCTGCATGTCAGACACAAAATGTATTTTTATTGTAGGTCTTTTTCCTTGCTATGATCCTAACCTAACTAGTTACAAACTGGATTATTTTTTTTGACAAACTGAAAAGAATTGCTTTTTGATTCCAACCAATAATCAAAACATACTCTGACAGATTTGTCTTTTGAAATCCAAGTGAAAAATGAAAGGGCATGGTTAGGGATCAACATCCACTATGAGCAGTACAAAACCAACCTGTAAACAGCCTTCTTGTCAGATTCCAGCTGAGCCTGAGGATCAAGGGTCACGCTGACAGAGGTATTTCCTGCTGCAGAGGCTGGTGGGATGTGGACTTGTGGGGCCTTAGTGATCTGTTGCGTTGTGCCTGTCATCTGGACACAAATAAAATTATCACAAAATAATTAACAACTTACCGGAAACAATAATACCCAAAGGGGCGTTAAAAGAATCGCAGCAAACAAACACATTCACTTATGTATTTATTTTTCCCCCGTGTCCTGTACGGCTGTGAAGCAAACAGAATTAATGTCTGAATGCTGGTGACAAGCCTTACAGATTAACTCTCAGGTGATACTTAAAACGTTATTGTTATTGTTTTTGATGCTTTATAATTCTGACCAGACACAGAGACAAAGGTGAAAGAGAAAGGAAGAGACAAAAGGGGTGGGGTGGGGGTGGGGGGGTTCCACAAAAATAAACAATCAACGATGAACAAGAGTCTGCTTCTAGACCTGCAGACGGAGAAAAAAGAAAAACAACACACAACAATACAACTAGAGCAAGCTATCACTGCTTCAACCTGATGAGGAAATATAAAATCAACATTGTTTTACTGAACAATCATGATAATAAATCACAGTGCATTTAGTGCCAACCACAGCCTTAAGACCTGTGTTGAACTTGCCCAAGTCCATACTTATGAGAGCACCATGTGAGCACCTGTGTGTGTACACACGCTTGTATATGTAAGGTTTCTCTATAGGAGCGTCCAATAGAGAGAGTGAGGGGCCACAGATCTGCCCCCCAAAAAGGCGTAGGAGATGGAGGGAGCTCCAACTCTCAGAGATCCAGGAGCTGCCCCAGAGCACAGGGACCTCAGGGAGACTGCAACCAGAAAAGCCCCTGCTCCCCTCGAGAGATGTGAGGATTGCCCCAGGGGGCCACGACCAGCAGCCAACAGAGTCTCGGGGGAAATCAGAGACAAGCCCACAGGCCCACCCGCAGCCTCCCAACCCCAAGTTGGCTGAGCCCGGAACCCAGCGACCCGGGACCCAGGGGCGACCAGCCCCACCGTGGACGCAACAGAGCCCAGGGACTCAGATTCCACCAGGCAGCCACCGGGATTCATCAGGCAGAGGCCAAAAATCTTAAACCCCCTGACCAGTCATACACAGACACAGTCACACACTCCCTCCCTCCCTCATGCTCACACATACACATACAATCTAAGACTTACAAAAATGAATGCTAGACGCCCACTCATGCTCCCCATACACACCCTATTCACTCTGGTCCCAGTACTGCTGCACAAGGGTACAACCATCACCGGGTTCCAGAGTTCGCCCTTTTCTGCTGGGGGTGATGATGAGCAGGCACCCCTGCCCAACGCTGAGCAAAGCAACCCACCACCCCAGACCACAACAAGATGGCCAGCTCCCCCTCCTAGCCTCCAGCTGTATATATGTCACTGTACCTGTCAGCTGTGGTGGAGAGAGCTGAGCCGGAACGCAAAGCTCTGGATTTACCGGTCGATCTGGATGCCTCCCTGGTGAAGTTTTCTGGACCTGTCTGACTGGGAGGAGACGCAAGGGAAGACCCAGGATATGCTTGAGGGACTATGTCTCTTGACGGTACGGGAATGCCTTGGGAGTCTCCCGGAGGAGTTGGCCCAAGTAACTCCGGAGATGGAAGTCTGGGTTTCTTGGCTTAGGCTGCTGCCCCCATGACCAGACTCCAGATAAGTGGCTGAAAATGGGTGGATGGATGAATGGATTTCCTTGGCTTACTGCCCCCATTTTACATATAATCAATCTATCCTTATTAAATGGATACGTACCGCAGAATTGTAAGGTTCCTCTACTCAAAAAGAACCAACTTTGTGGTTCTTAAAAGATAACTGTTAGTATCAGTTATATTAAAATGGCGTAAAAATCCTTCTTAATGTCTTTATTTTTATAAAATTTGTAAAAATAGTTTAACTCGTAGGTTGCAATTGTTGTTAGCGTTGCAATGCACTCTGGGTAGTGACGTCACATGGTTGTACCTCGGTTGCACCGGCCGGGTTTGGGACCCTGTAGGGACTGTTCAACGACATCAACATATCATCTGTTCAGCCTTTTCACTTTGAACCAGAGTGAAACATTAATAATGACATCACTGACCATGTTTCACAAAAGGAGCATTCAACATGAAGCGCAAGAAGGGCAGGATGAAGCGAGAGCAGGACACAACCGGTGGTGTGTGTGCGGCAAATGTGTCTCCATGGTAACAGAGAGGGAGAGTGCTCACATAGTTGTCAGCAGAAGGTAACTGTAAGCTATCGTGTGATCAAACTTTTTCAGTTACGAATGATTTAGGAGAATTTTAGCATCCAGAGCTGTTGTGTGCTTTATAGATTATTAGGATATTCAGTGAAATGACTTTAATCATTGTTGCAGAAATTATATATTTGGAGAACACCGTGTTGCTACACTTACTGCTTGTTTTACTGACGGGAGAGGTGAATGTTCAGCTTCATCCGTGATGAGTGGCGTATCCGACGGTTCGCTGAAAGTGACAGAATCAGCAGCTGCAGGAGCGGGTTGTTGGCTCAGGAGAGGGTCCAGCGTTTCTTGTCCCTCCGAGGACGTTCAGGCTCCTTGTGTGGGAAATGGTTGCTAAAGCATTTAGTTTCCGCCTTCTCTTATACCCAGCCTCTCTGGTGAGCTCTTTAAGTCGTTGTGGTCGACTATAAGCCTCAAACACATCAGGTGAAAAATGTTGGGAACACAGCTACCGATCTTTGGGAAGTTGTGTCCGTCCACAAGTCACTTGGGAGATTAGAGACCAGGTCTTGGAGGCTCTCAAGACCGATCCTGGACCCAACAACTGCCCCCCGGGCAGATTATTTGTACCTCAGCCCTTGAGGAGTAAGGTAATCCACTGGGCACACACGGGAGGGTTCTCCCTTCATCTGGGGGTTAGTCGAACAGTAGCTCTGATCAGACGGTCGTTTTGGTGGCCATCCTTATATAGAGATACTAAGGACTATGTCTCGGGATGCCACACCTGCTCACAACAGAAAGGGGACCATCGCTCTCTTCCCATTCCCTCTCGCCCTTGGTCCCATATTGTCCTGGATTTTGTTTGTGATCTACCCAACTCGCACGGTTTCACTACTATCCTCACTATCATTGATCGTTTTTCCAAAGCATGTCACCTGGTTCCCCTTAAGTCTCTCCCTTCCTCTGCAGTCACAGCGCAGCTCCTGGTTAGACACGTCTTCCACCTCTATGGTATCCCCGAGGAGATCCTGTCAGATCGTGGTCCACAGTTTGTTTCCAAGGTATGGAAAGAGTTCGCAGAAAGCCTTGGAGCTCAGGTGGCGTTTACCTCTGGACACCATCCTCAGAATAACGGTCAATGTGAGCGCATGAACAAGGAACTCGGAGCCATGCTGCGCTGTGTCTGCTCATCACATCCTTCCTCCTGGAGCACACACCTACCCTGGGTCGAATATGCTCACAACAGTAACATCTCCTCAGCTACAGGTCAGTCACCCTTTGAAGCCTCCCTTGGTTATCAACCCTCACTCTTTCCCCAGCAGTCCCCGGTTTCATCTTCCATTCCCCAATTCCTCCGTGGTGCTAGAAGGGCTTGGACCTCCACCAGAGCCGCCCTCGACCGCACGGGGAGGCGCAACAAACAACTGGCTGGCCACTCCTGAACATTCACTACCACAAACTCCTTCAGGCCCAACCATCTCAGGCCCTGCTGCTTCATTTTCCTCTTTTTCCCCAGTCACTGAGAACTGTGTGTCCAAGCTTCTCACACACAGCTGTGCGTCTGGTCTTCAATCAGCCAAAAAGAGCACAACACCTAGAACGAGGGACAGCGAGCAGGCCTTGGTCAGAGGAGCGCAGAGCGCGTGATGGGGAATGTTTGTTCAGGAGAGTGGCCAGATAGGGGGGACCACCACCCTGGAAGAAATGATAAACAAAGACGAGGATTTTGAATTGTGAGCGATAGCAAATCGGAAGCCAGTGCATGGAGGCCAGAAGCGGACTGATGTGGTCCCGTTCCCTGGTCCCAGTCAGGAACCTGGCGGCGCTGTTCTGCACAACCTGTAGGCGACGCAGTGATGACTGACACAACCCTGCATAGAGAGAGTTGCAGTAGTCAAGCCTAGAAATTACACAGGCATGCAGTACCCGCTCCAGGTGGGCTATCAACAGCATATGCTTGATTTTTGCAAGGTGTCTCAGGTGAAAGAAAAGCTTGACAGCATCCCTAAACGTTGATGTCCACCAGTGGGTTCAGGGATTGCCACCACGACGACAGGCACCGACGACCCTGTGGCCGCAGTTCCGGTCGGCTTTCTCAACAATGGAAGCATGGAGCACGGCCCACTCTGACTCATTGTCCCCTACCTCCCCATCAACATGGAAGTTCTGTTGGAGGTGGGAAATGAAACTTCTTCTGACAGGAGACTCTACCACATTTTCCCAGCAGACCCTCAGTAAACATGACTGAAAACAAAATATTTTGTAAACCTCAGTTGATAATGAATTTAGCACTTTGACAGCCAGGGAGTAAGCAGCTGAAATCAATAAGCTGATTTGTAAATCAGACACCTAGTGATGATGCTGTAGAATCAGTGATGATTGTAAATATTCAATTTGTGAGAATAAGCAGCCTGAATCACTCATCATATTCACGGTTATATGGATTTACATAACGTGTTAAACACGATGTGTCTTCTGTTGGTTCATCATGATAACATCACAGAACTCTGTTCAGCCTCACACTAGCTGTGGGCTTGATAAAGCAGGACATGCTCTGGGAACCCAATCCATGGTCTTCATTAGACATCTCTAAATGTGTTTAGCAAACCCATCCCATCCTCATCCCCCTCCAGGTTTTCATTCATTATTTTTATTTTTTTTATCAGGGTGGGGTTAGAGAAAGCTTCAAGTCTTAATCCCAACACCAAACGGGAAATAAATTAGCTTCTTCACACTTAACTAGCTCTCATTTGCATTTGTGGAATGTGCTGGCTGACGCTCAGGAGCTTTCCTCTGGCACTAATCCTCGAGGAGACTGCAGATAGAGGCAGCAAGGAGGGAAGGAAAGGAAAGGGGTGAGAGCAGATCAGATGCACCACCACTGCACT